GCCTGCACTCGCCTCTTCACCTCTTTCCTACACTCCCCATCACACTGGACTGTTGACCCCAAATACAAACTCCTGCACCTTCTTGACCTCAGGCCCCTGTAACCTCACTGTTCCACTTCCCTCCCTCTCATTCATACACATGTATTCTGTCTTACTACGACTGATTTTCATCCCTCTTCTTTCCAAAGCTGACCTCCACCTTTCCAGGTGTTCCTCCACCTGCTCTCTGCTCTTACTACAGATCACAATGTCATCCACAAACATCATTGTCAATGGAGATTCCTGTCTGACCTCATCTGTCAACCTGTCCATCACCCTTGTTCTTAAAGATCGGCACTAGTACACTTCTTGTCCATTCCTCAGGCATCTTCTCACTCTCTAAAATCCTGTTGAACAAACTAGATAGAAACTCCACTGCTGTCTCTCCTAGACACTTCCACACCTCTACAGGTATGTCATCTGGACCAACAGCCTTTCCACTTTTCATTCTCCTCAGAGCCTTCCTCACCTCATCCTTTCTAATCTTTGCTACTTCCTGCTCTACAATATTCACCTCTTTCCCCCTTCTTTCCCTCTCATTTTCCTCATTCATCAGTTCCTCAAAATACTCCTTCCATCTTCTCTGCACACTCTCCTCACTTGTTAGCACCTTTTCATCTCTGTCTTTAATCGCCCTTATCTGTTGCACATCTTTCCCATCTCTCTCTCTCTGTCTCAAACAAAGAGATAGAGATGATAGAAACTCTTTCCCATCTCTATCTCTCTGTCTCAAACACTTAGAGTGACACAAAGTACCTGGCAGTTGTGTCCATTGTATCCCATGGGGCAGGTGCAGCGGTAGGTTCCCAGGCCGTCAGTGCATATTCCACCATTCTTACAAGGCTGAGAGTCACACTCATTCCTCTCGTTCTCGCAGAATTCCCCGTAAAAACCAGGACGGCAACGGCAAAAGAAAGAGTCATTGCCATCAATGCAAGTCCCATTATTCAGACAGGAGCTTGACAAGCAAGATGAAGGAGAAAGCAGTGATTAATAAAAACTGTCTCTGTCCATGAGTGCAGTACTTAATGAAGTACAAAATCTGCAAGCACCACTGCATCACGGATTTTACCTAAGAAACCTTGTTTCATTAAAACTGGATATTTGACTTAGACATTTATCATTCATTCCAGATCATGCATTGAATTAATGGCTCACCTCTCAGTACAATCATTGATGTTGCGTTCACACAGGATTCCCTCAAAGCCCGGTTTACACTCGCACACAAAGCTGTTGACATAGTCCCAGCAAATGGCACCGTTCCTGCAGGGCTGGCTGGCGCACTCATCCACCTCAGTCTCACAACGCTCCCCTTCAAAACCCAGGCGGCAATCACAGGAGAAACCCCCAACATTGTCCACACAAGAGCCTCCATTCAGGCATGGGACTAGAGATGGGTGGCGAGAGAGAGAGAGAAGGGAGGCTTTCCATGACCAAAAATTGTATTTAGATAGCAGGCACTGAATTTGTTCAAATTCTCAGTGAGCAATCTGCCAACAGCCTGACTGAAATTATAAGTGCAAAACATGCTATTTCTGTGGAAGATGTTTTCCTGAGCTACTTTTACATCATGCAGAGACTTGTAAATATATGTACCCTTATGTACCTGAATATCTCAGGGGACTTTATGAATGGTTTTCTACTGGGGCATGGGACATCACCAGTCTCTGATGATATATCAAAGAATATTATAACCAATGCTGTGACAGAATTAGTTGATGTGAAACTCACTGGGTGAACAGTCGTCAATGTCTGTCTGACAGTTGTGTCCGCTGTATCCAGATTGACATTTACACGTATAGCTGCCTGGGTTATTAAAGCAGTGACCGCCATTTTTGCAAGGGTTCTTTTTGCATTCATCTACATCCTCACTGCAGCTCTGACCTACACAGGTATGAACAAGCAAACAAAAATTAGTACTGGATTAATCTAGCAGTAATATGTAATATCAGATATGACTTTGCTCTCAGGCACGCTGTCTCTCATCGTCTCACACACATATTCAATACTCAGACACAGAGTATTTTGCAGACACACACATACCTTGCCAACCAGCAGGACAATAACAGAAGTAAGAGGTGTAGTCTTCAGTTGGATGACACACTCCTCCCCTCTGACAAGGATGAGAGGCACAGGGAGCCAGTTCCACTTCACAGTGTTTACCTACATAGACAGTGCACATATTTTGTATAAAAACAAGTGAATGAAAATCTTCATTAATATATTACTACAATGACTGCGGTTCCATGCTACAGTAATACGTAGATGTTGATATGGTTGAAATGTGGTATCACCAACCTGTGAATGGTGGACTACATTGGCAGGTGTAACTGTTGACACCGTCTATACAACGGCCATAATTCTGACAGGGCCTGGATGCACATTCATCTATGTTCTTCTCACAGTTCACACCTAATGAGAGAGAAGGCAAAATTCAAAGGTTATTTTTGTTAAACCTGAATGCTGTTCCTTCTAGTGATTGCATAAAGTTTTAGAAATGCCATGCTGAAACACAATAATAATATTATTACCATTGAAGCCAGGCTGGCATAAGCATGTGTAGACATTATGTCGGTCCAGACAGGTGCCACCATTTTGGCACGGACTGGACTGGCACTCATTTTTTTCCTGCTCACAGTGCACTCCCACCCAGCCAGCTTTACACTCACAGCGGTACCTTTACATAAAAGAAATGCAAGCACAAGTTTAAATATGAAATTATCCACACAACAGGTTGCCTTTGAACTATCTGCAGCATCGGTTTTAGCAGTTCAAGAATGGATGTTACTTGTATTATTTTATAGGCAGTTGTGGTGCTACTGCAGTTTTCACATAGATCAGTGGTGAATTTGGAAAGCAAAGCAGGCTGCACTACATGGAGATTTCACATCCAAACAGAATGAAGGGCAACACTGTTAAGACAAAGGAAAAACTACTTTGCCCACTTTGTTGTGTCCCGCTGTCTACTGCCCCAACTGTTGCTTTACCTTAACAGATCTCTTAAATTCCCACAAATACTACAGCGCATTAACTGGTATAAAACCTTACTACATAAAACTTCAGGGCAGCAGTATAATGATAACGTACCCATGATGCTCCTCAATACATTCTCCATGTACACACGGCTGCAGAGCACAGTGGTCGGTTCCAGAGAGACACAGGGGAGGGTGGGTATTCGGCGGGCACAGGCACAGGAACCCGTTGATCTTGTCCAAGCACGTTCCACCACTCATACATGGATTTGAGTTACATTCATTGATCTCTACGTTGCATTTAAGTCCTGTTAGAGAACAATTCAAAGGGAATTAGTTGCATTAAAAGCACAAATTCGATTACTGTGTTGATGTAAATATTTTAATCACCCGCTTGATTTCTGAAACATTTTATATTGTTATCATATTGATTTTGCATGACTTTAGCTAAACATACCTGTATATCCAGGGTAGCACACACATTTGTATTCATTAATGCCATCCTGGCACTTTCCGTGTTCACAGGGATTGTTAGCACAATCATCTTCATTGATCTCACAGTTTAACCCTGAGGAGAAAAAATACATAGGCAATCTCATAAAGAGCAACAATAGTCACGCTGTAAACTCTATCATTTTATCAGTATAGTGTTTACTGAGAATAAAAAACACCCTGTCACCTAGTGGACCTCAGAAGGGGATAAGGCTACCTACCAAGAGGAGGGACACAAACTGACCCTGTGATGCTCTGCAAATAACCTGACATTCAACACAAGGAAAACCAAAGAACTGATCCTGGACTTCAGGAAGTGCAGAGCCAACCACTCACCCCTCTTGATCAATGGAGACTGTGTGGAAATAGTTCACAGTTTTAAATTTCTGGGAACTGAAATATCCGACAACCTCTCCTGGTCAATGAACACCTCAGCCGTTGTAAAGAAGGCCCAGCAGCGCCTGCACTTCCTGAGAGTCCTTAGGAAAAACAACCTGTGTGGAACCCTGCTGGTGGCTTTTTACTGCTGTGCCGTAGAGAGTATATTAACACACTGCATCACAGTGTGGTACTCAGGTTGTACAGTGGCTGACCGGAAGGCTCTACAGAGGGTGGTCAACACAGTGCAGAAAATCATTGGCTGCCCACTTCCCTCATTTGAGGACACTGCAGCAACCCGCTACCTCAGTAGAGCAAAGACTACCTTAAAAGACACTTCCCACCCAAGTCATTACCTGTTTGACTTCCTGCCTTCAGGCAGGCGGTATAGGTCAACTAATACACGCACAAAACGATTCCTGAACAGTTTCTTTCCTGCAGCCATACAGCACATTAACAAACAGACAAGCTAGTTAATCTTATTTACACCCAACTGCATTTTTTTTTTAAATATTGCTGTTATATGTGCAATATTATGGCCTAGCATTCAGGCACCTTATTTCCTTTCTTTAATTTTATAATGTTTTTTTATGAGTGTAGTGTTGATTGAGTGCATGTAGTTCTTTTAAACACCACAGTGATGTGACGAGCACTGGTAATTTCATAGTATCCTGAATACAATGACAATAAAGGCATCTTATCTTATCTTGTCTTATCTTATCTTAAAGGAGCTGTTTCAAAATGAGATACTTTGCCACCAGAGGGAGTCAGATTCCACAAAAGTTGCATTTGGCAAGAAGTGAGAAATGTGAACAAAAATGGAGACAGAGCTTTAAATGGTATAATAGATTAACAGAGCGACTATTGTTACAGTGGGAGAGAGCAAGAGAGAGAAAAAAAGAGGGAAAACAGATGGAAACAGAAACAAAGAGAAAACTGGGCAGAAAGAGAACAAGGTACATCAGAGGAGGGGAAGTGAGGGCATGAAACCTGAAAGCGAGACCTGACACCAGTTCTGGTAAAGTGAGTACAGGGTAAACTCTAGTACCAGGCCTCAGGGTGGTACAATGTACTGAACTGAGCTCACTAATCCACAGAGCAACGCAGGATAGCGCCACTTGACCCAGACTTGTGACTGCAACACCCACGTCGAGCGCTCAACACTCTGCAATATATTAAAAGCTATACAGGAAGCGTCTGATGTGGGGGATGGGGGTCTTTACATTCAGTTCCAGCTGTTCTCTCAAAATGAGAAACACATTAATGTGATCTGGAAAACAGATTTTTGTAGAATGACTCAGATTTAGATTATTTTAAAAAGGATTCTGTAGAGAGGGCAGCACGGTGGCACAGTGGTTAGCGGCGTTGCCTCACAGCGAGAAGGTTCCAGGTTCAGGCCCCACCTGGGACCTTTCTGTGTGGAGTTTACATGTTCTCCCCGTGCTTGCGTGGGTTCTCTCTGGGTACTCCGGCTTCCTCCCACAGTCCAAAGACATGCAGCTTAGGTTGATTGGTGTCTCTAAATTGCCCATAGGAGTGCATGTGTGTGGTGTTGTCTATGTGTTAGCCCTGTCCAGACGTGTCCTTCGCCCGATTGCTGGCCGGGATTGGCTCCGGCCCCCCCCCCGTGACCCCGCTCAGGGAACAAATGGTAGAAAATGAATGAAAAGGATTCTGTAGAGCTAAGTTACACTTCGATGAAAAAGTGTTGTGAGACTCAGTGCAGGAGGAACTAGACCTCGTACAATGTTTTGTGCTGACAGAGGCATCTAAGTGGTTACTATAGTAACCAGATGTTAAGCAGAACAGGACTTTGTTTAAAACCTTGCCAAAGAAATCGCAGCGCACACTATTTTGGAGGAGAAAGTGACTGAAAGACCCCTCATACTGTGCCATGGAGGATACATGGAGGCAGATAACCATTAACCAGTTTGATGACTATATTCATCTGTATGTACCTCAGACACATCAGCACTCACCCCAGTCTGGTGGGTGTCAAAATGTAACTTTTCTCAGTGAATAATTCTGCCTTCAAACATCCAATCAGTTGGAGTTATTGAACAGCTGCCTCCACCATTTATGTTCCACATGTCAAATGACACTTTTTTCTTTGAAGAATATATCATAAGCCCTGCGATGGATTGGCGACCTGTCCAGGGTGTACCCCGCCTTCGCCCGATTGCCGGCCGGGATTGGCTCCCCCCGCCACCCCCTGCGACCCTGCTCAGGGACTAAGCGGTAGAAAATGAATGAATGAATGAATATATAATATATATATATATACCAGAAGTTCCTGATAGGCAGTTACACTGGTAGGCACTGACACGGTCAATGCAGCGTCCTCCGTTCTGACAAGGGTTGCTGTTGCACTCTTGGATCTGAGTGTTACAGATTTGGCCTGTGTATCCAGGCTCGCACTCACAGGTGAACCTGGCGATATCATCTTTACAAACACCATGGTGGCATGGGTCTGGTATGCAATCATTGATGTTCTCCTCACAAAGTTGACCAGTGTAGCCTGAGGGAGGACATTTCTTGTTAGGACCTTTCTTGTTAGAGATGCCTGCACAACAAATCTGAATTAAAACCATGTCACTTTTACCTTTACTTAACAAATTCCTTCTTACCTTCAGCACATTCACAGTCATATCCGTTGGGTCGATCAAAACACTTGGCCCCATTTAAACAGGGTGTGCTGGAACACTCATCAATGTCTATCTGGCACATGTCACCACTGAAGCCTGAAAAGAGAGCACAGAACAACCTGATGAGCACAGTAACACACCCATACATGAAAGAACAATTTTAAACAGGCTGGAGTTCATAAGAAGATTAATTCTCAGTTTGAATGGATAAATAAAGTTGAGTGTAAAGGTTTGTTAGCCCATTCTTCACGGTATACTTTTTTTTCAAGTCTACCAGATTGCTTGGCTGTCTGCTATGTACAGCCCTCTTCAAATAAATCCACAGGTTTTCACTGATACTGTAACTAGGTGCTAGGACACTTGCTCAAGAGCTATGCAACAATAAAAAACAAACAGCAGGGGACCTGACAAAGTCTTTAGAGGCAACTGGAATGCAAGCCCACATCTCTACAATCAAGCGTAGTCTGCACAAGTCCTGATTGCTTAGGAAAAAAGCATGCAGGAAGCCATTGCTTACTTCTAGACATAAGGCAGCAGGTTTGGAGTATGCTAAGGAGAAAGATTATGTGGTCTGATGAGACCAAAGTTCAATTATGTGGTCATAATTTGCATAGATATCTGTTGCTAGAAAAACATTGCTGATGTTTTGGGGGCATATGTCTACATCAGGCACTGGAGCTCTGCATAAAGTTGGAGGAAGAATGAATGCAGTGCAAAATCGAGATTTTAAAGCAAAGCTTCCTCCAGTCAGAAAGCTAAAAATGAAGAGGTAGTGGATCATTCAACAAGACAGCCAAAGCACAGAGCAAGTCAACTGAGCAATGGTTTAAAAACAATAAGGTGAATGTTTTATCATGGCCTTCCCAGTCTCGAGAGTAAAATATCATTGAAAACCTGTGGATCAATTTGAAGAGGGCTGTGCATGCATGCCATGAAGAATGGGCTAAAATTACACCTGAAAGGATACAAACACTGCTCAAAGAGGTACCTAAAGAGCTTGGAGGAGGTTAGAGAGGACATACAAAGGGTCAGAGAACATTTCATAAAGGGGGATGCAAACATTTGCAGTGATATGGTTTTCATTATTTTACTATAACTTTCTTTTATACACTACCTGACCATTTTTGTTACTTCTGCTGATGAAGGAACAGTTGCACTACCCGAATGTGCAGTAAATATAATGTTGATGAGAAAAAAATCTTTGTTTTACTCTTTTTGCTATTTCAAAGTAAGGGGACGCAAATGTTTGCACTCAACTGTCAGAAAAACAGCCAGAAAAATAAATAAACATAGCTTCATGTCTACTAACCTGCTGGACATTCACAGACAAAGCGGCTGACCTGGTCGACACATCTACCCCGGTTCAGACAGGGGGAGCTGATACACTCATTCACTTCTATTTCACAGTGAGTTCCCTCAAATCCTGCATACACAGAGAGATACAAGTTTTTATTATTTCTTCAGTTCTTTAACACTACCTCTGATCATGCTTTCTGAAAATCTCATTTAACGTAGTGGTGTCAGTCACCTCTACCAAAGAGGTTGTTTATGCTCCTGTTTGTTGGTTGGACATTTTAAAAATGGCAACATTGTAGTGAGATTAGACTGTGAGCTAAGGAACAAGTAAAAATTTCTTGTGTAGATCAGGATAGACAAATGTTTAAGTATATGTTCAAAAATAACTTAAAAATTCAGTAAAAAAAAAAAATAAACAACTGCATTTCCTTTGCAACTGCTAAAACAAATTTAGAGGACTGTGCAGCCTTGGTGGAGCTGGGCCTCCTCTGGTCTTTTTAGTGTCTAACATTGCATTGCTATCCTACAAACGTTCACAAACACTATTTCAAATGCTTTTACAAGTTTATCTAGATGAGAATGTTTCCTAAAACTGGTTAAAATGTAAAGGCAATATATAATTTCCCAGGGACTGTACCAGGCATGCAGATACAGGTGTACTCCCCAATACGATCCAGACAAGTGCCATCGTTTTGGCAGGGGTTCGAGGCGCACTCGTTTACATCTTGCTCACAGCGCGGCCCAGCGTATCCCGTAAGACAGTGACAGGTGAAGGAGCCATCAGTGTTGACGCACTGACCACCATGCTCGCAAGGGTTGGCACCTGAGGATGAAGAGGAAATGGTCTGAAAACTGAACAGAGCAGATATATATGTTGCGTATGTACAGTAGAGGGGCTTAAGAAGGATAGCCTTCAATCTCACCAATGATGCATTCGTTTCTGTCGTCGTTGCAGGTACTGCCTTCATATCCAGGTGGACAGTTACAGTTGAACATGCCACTAATGGGGTTGGTGTTACAATGAGAGCCCGTTCTACAGGGGCTACTGATACAGGCATCCTCTAGATGGCAAAGCAAACCTGAAAAAACAAAAAAAAACAGCATGTTGGCAAGGAATGAGTAGTCAACAACGTGTACATCCATCCATCCATCCATCCATCTTCCTCCGCTTTTCCGAAACCGGGTTGCGGGGGCAGCAGTCTAAGCAGAGATGCCCAGACTTCCCTCTCCCTAGACACTTCCTCCAGCTCCTCCGGGGCAATACCGAGGCGTTCCCAGGCCAGCTGAGAGACATAGTGTGTTCATCCATTTGAATACGTTGCTATTACAAAGCAATGGCTTTAAAAATCTGCAAAAAAAAAACTAGGTCTGCCCCCGAGACTGTTTGCATCCATCCATTCATTATCTGTACTGCTTATCCTGAAGAGGGTTACAGGGGGGTGGAGCCAATCCCAGCTGAATTGGGTGAGAGGCAGGGTACCCCCGGACAGGTTGCCAGCCTATCACAGGGCTGATGCTTAGAGACAGACCATGTCTTTGGACGGTGGGAGGAAGCCAGAGTCATTAGTCGCGAGACCTGTCAGTTGACTGAGACTCTTCTAGTTGAGCCTTTGCTTTTATTTTATTTGATTTTATTGCATGCATGCATTACAATAGAAGGCAGCCACAGCCCAGTAGATTGCCGTCTTCTTCTCCTCATTTTGGTGTGCCAAGCAGCAATTTGCTCAATTGGGAATTCCCGCTTCAACGGTGACACGGTACGATGCATGGATGTACATTAAGATTGGGTCTATTTAGCAAATTGCAGAACGAGGAGAAAAAAACAAACAAACAAAAAAAAAAAAACAACACACTAGGACAAACCACATAACGGTGAGATTTGGACTTTATTATAAGTGTTTTCAAACATCATGGTCTACTTTTACAAGAGAAGAGACTTTAACGGTCGTGACCATGCAGCTGGTTTTGCCCAATGTTATGCGAATCTGGTTTGTTTCCACATTTACGTTGAAGTGCAACGCACAGCTGTTTACTGATTGTTTCTGCAACATGTATCCATCCGATTGGGACTAAGAAGCTAACAAAAATATGCACATTTCAATGAGGAATAAATAAGAGGAATCATTCACAGTGCAAGCTGACACACATCAAACGCACAGTAACAACTTGCACTATGGTTAACTGACGGGAGATGCTTGTTGGTACACTGGGCTATAACCATGTTTCAGAAGAAAAAATTGCCTATATGAGCATTGTTTCAACAGAAATACAAGTGTGCTGCCCGTCTCGTGGCTGCCCAACATTATGCATCGCCAATTTAAATAGGTCACAATTTAACTATTGCATCGTATGCATGTGTCTTTTATGGATTTTTAAACGCTCAGAAATATGTTCTTGTCACTCTTTTGAATTTAAATACCAATGTTAATGTGATCAAAATAATCAAAGAAATTCATGCCAGTCGATTTTATGGCGGTCTAGGTTATACACATACACACACACATATATACATATACATATATATATATATATATATATATTATATTTATTAACAGAAAGACTAAAGCAAAGAAAAAGAATGAATAGTTGCACTGAAAAGCCACATGGCAGTCGACTGACAAAATCCTTATTCGGGTTGCCTTAACTGTAAAAATAACCTGCCCCGAGTGAGGCTGAATGTTATTTTTAAGGCAAGGCCTGTTTGACACATTCAGTGACTTTTCCTCAAGGAAAAAGCTTTGATGAATATAGTGACATTATCTGCATAGGAAAACATCGTTTCTTGTTAGACTAGTTACAGTTATTACATAATGTGTTTTAGGGTTTGGTACAGTATGAATAAGTCTGCATGTCATTTCCCACTATTGGCTCACCTGTCTTTCCATGAGGGCAGATACAGAGAAAAGAGGCAACACGGTCGATGCATGTGGAGCCTGCGCTGCACGCAGCTGTAGCACAGTCATCAATGTTTTCAGAGCAGTCGTGTCCACTCCAGCCATTAACACACACACAGACGTAGCTGCCCATCAGGTTGCTGCAAGTACCTCCATTCTGGCAAGTGTTTGGCTGCAGATGACACTCGTCCACATCCTCTGTACAGTGTTGACCTGTGGAGTGGACAGGGAATAAAGGGACAAAATTAACTGGGTTAACAATCTGTGCAGCTTGTTATAACTGAATGAGTAACCTTGTGGGTCTCTTGTAGAGAAATAACAAATTTTGTGTTATTTTTTTTAGATGCTTACCATCTTATCTAAGACGCTCTGTTTTTTTGCAGGCATAGAAAATGAACAGTATAGGAGCATTTATTTATGCACCTTGACCACTTTTTATTTTTTTTACTCCAACATCACTGTGGTGTTGCCTCATCTGGTTGGATTAGTGCTATACAAACTCAGACAGGCCTAAGAAAGCTGATGTACGCCTGTTTGCTTTGTAAACGGAAAGCTCGCATATGCCACACAAGTTAAGGTGTTAAGAGAGACACACCTTGTGTAGAGTGCAGGCCTCAGGAAGATGAAGAAAGAGAATAAAAGAATAGTAGGAAGTATGATATCAAAACAAACAATCTGAAAGATGTGAGCTATTATCACTGATCACAGCACACGCATTTAGTAGAAATGAAGACCCAAAAGCAGAAAATCCTTTCCAAATTGATATGGCTAAAATGTCCTAAAAATTAGATAAACATACTGTTGTGGATTCCATTTTAAAGATGACAGAATATTTAGCCAAATGTATTCAACACTACTTTTTTTAAACACAGCAGTCATACAAAAACCTTTTAAAAACTGGTTCTAGGATAATGCATAAAACATCTTCTCAAGAAGATGTCTGAAATACACAATACTGGTTTTTAATCCTTTGTCTCATCGTGCTTTAGGTTATCTTCAGCCATAGATATGCTTCAGACACTTAAGAAAACCCCCGATATCCTGCAGGGATGTGAGGCACTGGGATGGTAAACCCACATGCTGTACCACAGAGTTGAAGCAATTAAAACAGTATGTCTAAGAGTGAACATAAGAATGCACAGACAAACAATCACATGCACAAATCCCTTACCCGTCCACTCTGGAGGACACTGACAGTTGTAGGTGTTGACTCCATCCATACACGTTCCTCCATTGGCACACTGATGACCCGGACAGTCATCAATATTGTTTTCACAGTTAGTCCCGTTAAAACCTGGCAAAACATTCATCTAGTTATTCACTGCATTAATTATGTGTCCATTTGAGAAGACACAATACATAACCTTTACTTGGTGTGTTCAGTATATAAAACACATCCTGGAAGTATATAAACAGCAGCTGTGAGTGTGTTTGTTGTGTATACTTGTGAACTGTAGCAAACTGGCAGTACTATGCATCTAATATAACACAGTCAGCAGGACCAGACTGTTTGCATCCATCCATTCATTATCTGTACTGCTTATCCTGAAGAGGGTCACAGGGGGGTGGAGCCAATCCCAGCTGACATTGGGTGCGAAGCGGGGTACCCCCGGACAGGTTGCCAGCCTA